GGAAAGAGCGTGTTAGAACCAGAGAGGATATGTATGTAGATTCTTTGAAAAACAATAGCGAAAACAGGTAAAAGTGTAGTGGTTTCCTTATTAGGAATGAGCCGACAGAGCTACAATATTCTCTATCAGGACGGCATTCAACGTACTTGACTTCCACTAACTATGGCAATAGGTTCTTGGTACAGACTGAATGTTGTTATCCCAAATTCCTATATTGAAATCTAATCCCCAGTGTGATGGCATTTGGTGATAGTGCCTCAGGGAGATCATTAGGTGGCGACATCATTAGGTAGTGAGGAGTCCTATTAAATAGCATTAATCCCCTTAGAAGAGGCCTCAAAGTGCTCCCTTGGTTTTTATGCCAAGTGAGGGCACAGCAAAAAAAAATGCTCACTAATGAGAAAATGAGCCTCACCACACAATGAATCTGTGGGCACCCTGACCCTGGACGTTTCTAAGATGTGAGTAGTACATGTCTATTGTTTATAGGTCAACCAACCTATATTATGCTGTTATTGTAGTTAAATGAACTAAACAATCCCTTACATTAGAATAACAGACTGATAAAAAGAAACTAATGTATAAAAAAATTCACATAAATAGTCTAGTCAGTTTTGTTTTGTCCCAACTTCTGTGACTGGCTGAAAGAAAGGAAGGTGGGAGGCAGAAAGGCTGAGCAAGTAGTTTATTGCTCCTGGACAGCAGCTGAGACGGAGCCCCTAGAGTGGGGTGCATAGCTAATGCCTGCCCTATGGGGGGAAGAGTCACTTAGATTCTAAACTCAAATTCCAAAAGGATGACTCATCGCCATGTCCCTTGATGTAAGGCCCATTTCGTTATCACCTTCCTCTTGTCCCATCCCAGAGGCAAGGTCACATTAATTGGATGCAAGGTCTAATTTATTACTGCCCTTATCCAGTCCATCAGTAAATCTTTGCACTTGGTCACTCCCAAGTTTTACCTTAGGAACATCAGGGAAGGAATTTAAGAACAACTTATACTACATCAAGAACTAGATGACAATGGGAAAAAAAAATCAAAAACAAAAAAGATTAGTCTGAAATGGAAAATGATAGTTTCTAATAATATATCTGTGGTTTCTTTTGTTGACTCTAGTCACATCCATATATGATGCTGTAAATCACACAGAAAGGCAGAGCTCAATTTCCACACCCTGTGCAAATTAGCCTAGAATTCAAGCTTTCTCCATAGCATGCTGCTTCAACAATTCCTCCAGTAAGGCTGTCATACCCAGAACAAGAAATAAAGCAGGATGTCAACAAAACTCATAACCACATTCACCTGTCAGTAGGTAAATAATAAAAAGCAATATTGTATTTATCTAGAGAAATCATTAATATTTTAATAAAAGTATTCTACATTCTACTCATAGATTACATAAGCAGTAAGTAGAAATAATAATGAGATAGTTATATAATAGAACAGACTTACCTATATAAAGAGAAGATTTGTGTGTAGGTACGGAATCATCAAGAAAGGCTGTTCCCAGGGTATAAAGAGGGGTCCCTCCTGTTCCCAGCAACAGCTGGCCCAAGATGAAGACATACAAGTAGCTAGAAAGTGAAGAACTCGAAGAAGCACAACTGGTATTATTCCCTGTTGTTAAGCAGGTATCTTTAGGAGAAAAAAAATTTTTTTGTGAATTTAACAGAAATTTTGCTAATAAATTTATCTTAAAAAGAATGCATTTATTATTTTCCCAATCACTTTACTTTGATTTTTAAACTATTTAATAATATGTATCACTGAAGAAAATGTACATGATATTACCATGTCAAAATTCGAAAAATATAGATCAAAACTGAGAGACATTTTAAGAATAGAAATAAACAAATTTCCGAGTCAATTAATGTAGACAAAATTAAAGCAAGTGGTGCACCACGAGGATCATTTTAAGATTTAAGATTTCAGACCTCCCCTCCTCAGATTTGACTGGTTAGGTAGAGTGACTTACTAACTCAGGAAACCTGTTTTATTAACTGTATCAATGGTACCTAAAAGGGTATAATTCAGGAGTAACTGGAAGACATTGGGAATGAGCTGTCATGCTCTCCATAGCTCATTAGTCTCGCCTAATCTCCACATGTTAAGCAAAGGGGGGTCTCTGACCCTTATCCATTTTGGTGTTTAATGGAGTTAAAAAAGGGAAAAAGCAGGCCCAAAATGGCAGCTGCTAAGCTATCAAGACTTAACCTCTAACTGAAGTGCACTTACACCCTCCCCTAACCTTAAAGGACCAGTCAATAATTTTTTTGGATGAACTGCTAAAAAAATGCAATTTCTCTGAATAGAAATTGGTCAAAAATAAATGGAATCTTTTATGCTATGTCCTACCAAAACTAACTGCATTTTCAGCCTCTCCTCAAAATGGAATTTTAAAACAAAAAGATCTAAAATTTCTTGGTTATTATTAATGTGAAAATTTACATAAGATTCCCTGGATTCTCCTAAGAGAACATGACTTGAAATAGTTTTTCTTGTCTCACCCTGTTTCTGACTGTGGAAAAATTTTTATTGGTCTTTTCTACAAGCTAGATGGGATGTTGCACCTTGCTTCAGGCAAGGTTACCCTCCCTTAGGAATGCAGGGGTGGGGAATTTTTATTATGCAGATTATCTGCCTTTCCTAAATACTGGTTCATATTACATTCCTGGGATAGGTTGAAACTGTAATTAAGTTAAAAACTTAAATCTTGGTCTGAAGATGTGAAGGTGATAAGGGTGACTCCAGTTTAGGTCTACTATTTCTTTTAGCTGGGCCCATGAGGTAAATCTTCCACCTCCAAAGACCAGTTAATCAGCCTTAGTGATTATTCCCCACAGGTACACGATCTTAAGCTGAAGTATTCTGTTTATGACTTCCTTGCCTTGCCTTTAAAAATCTTTTTCAGGGCCCTCCCTGGGGTGCAGCAGGTTAAAGCACAGCACTAAGATACCAAAGCCACTTCACCATGAGTTTGCTCCCGCCAGCCCCGGAGGTGACCCACATGATGCAGCAGACCTCTCCTGACCCACCCGCTGCTCCCCTCAGCAGTGTACTTAGTCAGTCTGCCTGTTCTGCTCTCCACTCCCTTTCTGGTGAAGCCGCTCACCACCACCACTCCCACCCCCCACCTCTGACCTGCATGCATGAACAAATGAAGCTTTAAAAAAAAACATTTTTCATTGTGTGGCCTTAGGAGGTCTTACTATTTGCTGGAAAGAATGCTGTCTGATTTATAAATTGTTCAACAAAGCAAATTAGATCTTTCATTTGTTAAGGCAAATTTCTGTTATTTAACACAAGTACCGTTGGTGAGATCATTGTCTACTGGCACTGAGCATCTCTCCCTTCTCTTGATTTTCCTACAGGTTGAGAGTGTAGGGTATTATCCAGAAAGTTCAAACCTCTGAACAGAGGTTAGTCCCAGTGTTCATTGAAGACCAGTCCCAAGGGATCACTTATTAACATAACAAAACACCTTGATCACTCTCTTCACTTGTGGAAATGTCAAGGTTTGGGCAAATGTGAGTGAGGAAACTTGGATATAGACCAAGCATGACAGGTACTGCTTATAAATCACAAGCCTAGGAACAGTAACACACTTTGGATTATGTTATGATTGCAAAAGGAATTCTGCAGGGAATTGAAAGTTCTTAACCAGTTGCGTTTGCATTAGAAAGATTACTTGGCTGTGTTTAATCTAAACCATGACCCCTTTGCAAGCTTAAGTTTTTCTGGCTAGCAGCAGGAGCGAAGTCAGAGACTCTAAAGCTAAGAAGGACGCTAGGAGACACTGCTGCTTTTGAAAATGGAGGGGACTAAATGTCAAGGAAGAGAGAATCTTCTAAAGCTTTAAACAGCCTCCACTAACAATTATCAATGAAATGTGGATCACAGTTCTATAATTCCAAGGAACAGCTACTTCCAAGAGTTTAATGATCTTGGATAATGATTCTTCTCTAAAGCCTCAAATGAGAATGCAACCAGCTAACACCATGAATTTGAGATTCTGTGCAGATGAGCCAGCTGAGTGATGCGTAACTGCGGACTGTTTGGTTACTACTGGTTACTACAGGTAGTGGTGTTCAAGTCATTAAGTTGCTAATATTATGAAGCAACAAAAATGAATACAAACATTTTACAAAAGTGTTCATTTAAAAGTGAATAACCAGGCCCTCCCTGGTGGCACAGTGGGTTAAAGCATAGCACTAAGAAGCTAAAGCCACTTCAGCATGAGTTGGATCTCGGCCCCAGAGGTGACCCACATGGCATGGCAGACCTCTCCTGACCCACTCACTGCTCCCCTCAGCAGTGTAATTCTTCAGTGGGCCTGTTCTGTTCCCCACTCTCTCTGGTGAATCCTCTCATCACCCCTAGCCTCTGGCCTATACTCCAGTTCTGTATGCATAAATAAGTGACTAACCAAAAAGGAAAAGCAAATGATATGGCAGAACAGTCTCAAAATGTTGCTATGACATAGAATTACAAATTACCAGAACTGACATTCTTTGAAAAAGGTGATGAAAATGATTGCTTCTTAAAATCAATAGCTGGAAACAGGGATCTACGAGCTCCTAAGTATGGTGAAGTATAGGGAGGAAGGAGAAAAACAAAATAATAAAAGAAAACTACTATGAAATAAGTTACATCATAATGGGAATAAAAAAGACTGGAGATTTTGAGAATTACAAGGGCAGACAGAAAAGGCTTGAGAGATACTAAACAAAATTAAATGAACAAAAAGACATAAAAGGTTAGTGAGAAAATTATAGAAATGAGATTCAGGCAAAGGAAATCAATCAATACACAACCAGGGTAGAAAAAAAATACATATATTCAAAGGGAAAATTTAGAGAAAACTTTCCTGAAATAAATGAACACTGATCTGTAATGTAAAAGGGCAAAGAGCATCACAGGAAAATTTGATGCTGGAGTTTCAGCTACTCCTTTGTAAAGTTAGTGGATTTTAAAATGAAGTAAGACTACTTTGAACAGTCTGGTGGAAAAAAATGATAGTTTTCTAAGGAGAAAGAGATACACTAGTTTGGCATCAGACTCTCTAAAGCAACTTAATCCCAGAGATGCCTCAAGGACCTTATGATGATTCAATTTAAGTAATATGGCTTATTAAATTGCATCTTTTGCAGCACCGTTTTTTAAAATATAGACGCATCTATTCTGTGTCTTTTGTGGCAATATTAGTGATTTGAACCTGGAACCTGAATTTCTAATGGGAAATCAAAACCAGACAAAATGCTTTCAATTTATTTAAAAGCATGTGATTCGGCAATACACCGCCAGAGGGAGTGCTTAAGCCTCTTATGAAGAAGAGTTGTCAATAAAATTAAGAACTTGCTTTAGTGAGTGAACCATGGTCAGTCCTGCTCACAAACATTTGTAGGACCTAAAGCAAAATGGCAAAAACCCACATGCCATAATATTTAGAACTTAAATATCAAGCTTAGGCCAATCCTTATCCCCACTCTGAGGTCCAGTCTGATCTTTCCCAGCCTAAGACCATGTATTCCTCTAGTCCCACCCTGCTACCAGGGGTTAGGCAGGAATACAGCAGTTGGAAGTGGAATTAAAATCCCCCAGCCACACTTTCTTGACAGTATTTCCAGGTCTCTGAGGCACCACAGTCTTCTGATGAACATAATCCTCCTAATTTGTCACATCAGGCATCTTGAGGCAGTTAACAACAAAGGCAGCCTTATTTCTGCCTCTCCAGGTAGAGACTGTAATTTTCTCCCCCATTTCCCATCTGCTAGCCACTTCCCTGAAGATAGTTTGACAAGGTTGCTCCTGTTTAACCTTGGCTACTCCCAAGTCTAAATAGCATCTTTTGGCCTGGAGAGTAGAACCTTCTACATCTGTTTTCTATAAACTTCTGTTCCCTTTCCTAGCACAATCTTTCAAAAACTTTTCTTTAAGAACTTGAAAACAAACAAACAAACAAACAAACTATGTTTGGGTTTCAGTGTCTGTGATGTGGCTTCCTATAGGCACAGGGTGAGGACACTTAGTGCCCGTATCTGAGGACAGCTGCTGGCAGAGGAACTGAGTCGACAGCAAGAAAAGGTTCTTCCTGAAGTAAAGGGTGGCAGTGGCTTTGCTTCTCCGTACCTCAACAACTGAGGCAGGATAAGTCAGTTGACAACCACGGTTCCTTGGGTTGGTTCCCAACACACCAACTCCCATTGGAATGGCGCCTTTTCTATTGCGGTACACAATTTGGAGGTAGTTAACCATAGTTCTTATACAAAAATCTGTGAAGAAAAATTTATTACATTGTCCACAAATAAGGCACTCTATAAATCAAGTCATGTTGGGCACTGGTAGAAGCACTGCAAACAATGAAGACAAATTCATATCTACATATTTATCTCAGGAGAGAACATTTTGATTGCCCTGGGGAGTAATGGTTGCCCTGAGGAATGTTAGGGACTAGAAGATCTCAGTGAGAGGATTGGTAATGGGCATTTCTTTATGCGGGGCAGTTCTACAAGCATTACTGTAGCTGGGGAAAAATAAACACAGATTGACAGCCACTGGGCCAACAATATTTTCTTCCCCACTTGAATCCCCACAAAGGATGCCCTTAAGTAAACACTAATGAATGACAAAAACAT